TGATTTATTACACTTACATATTATGCTTTTATAATTATTAGTTGTAAAATGGTCACCAGGCAATATTATCGCTTATCGCAATAATTTGTGAGACAATTAATTGTCCAGCAAAATTTTTTTATCGTGACAGGCCTACCCTAAAGTCAATTAAAGGAGCCGTAAAAGATTAAAATGAATTTCATCTTTAATGGACATCTCATGAACTCAACTCACAGAATTATCCAGGGGGTCCTGGCTGTCCTCCATGTTGAGAGCTGACATTGAGGTAGTGTCGTCACTCTCCCCCGCCTCCTGGACCTCCTGGTTTCTCCTCTTCCCCTTCTTCTTCTTCTCCACCGGCGTGGTACCAGGAACTCTGAAACAGGAGGAATAAACCCGTTATGGTATAGTAGACACAGCAATGACTTCACCAGGGGACACGTAGAATTGTCTTACTTGGGTTTTCGGCCCCTCTGTTTCGGTGCTGTGGGGACCGGAGTCTTGCTGTTGGTCTGGCCTTGTCTCTTCCCGTGGCTTTGGGCTGCCTGGGCGTGGTTTACCTGCCCCAGGGCGACAGGTGGGACTGCTGAAGGGAAACCAAAAAACAAGATTAAAATATCATTAAAAAGAAGCTGGGGAATAAAAAACTAAAATCTTCTAGCAGCAGCCATCCTGATTACATCCCTGACATAATTCTGATTTTCTGCACTCTAAGTGCACTAATGCGCCCGCCCACACACGTGCAAACACACACGTGCAAACACACACGCACACTAATTCCTAATTAGGTCCAACGAGTAGTTTAAAAACAGTCGTCGTTCGACACGTCTAATCATGAATTACAAACATTTAAGAATAAAACGTTCATCAGCTCTGACTTCCAATTAGTGCTGAAATAAAAACATTAAATATATGCTGTTTAAAATAAAGCAGGCTGTTTTTAAATTGTAGTGATTGTACTGAACGGCACAGAAATATGAGCTGGCAGAGCAACAGACACCACTCAGGATTCAGACGGTAGAACCAGAACTGTCTGTTAGTAAAATATTTTAAGAATCAAATAGACAGATTTAAATAAAAACTGCAAAAATCTAAAAGTATCAATAGGTTTGTTAAAATCTGCAAATATCAATAGCTAAAAGTTAGCTAAAAGTAGCAAAAGGCTAGCTAAAAGCTAAAAATTACAAGACTTTATACATGCTTCAATTAGGTAAAGTTATAAACAGCATGGGATGAATTTCCATTGTTATGCTGATGATAGTTATATTTATCAATGAAACCTGAGGAATCCAACCTTAAACTACAGCATGTCTTACAGACATAAAAACATGGATGACTCTTAATTTTCTGCTTCTGAACTCACAGTGGTGGGCACCAATCAGCTACAGGTAAAGGTGCTTTATTGGTCATCAGTGTATGTTTCCACACATTGATGAAATTTGTGCTCTGTATTTGACCCATCCCCACCCAAGTGGAGCAGCGGGCAGCCATGTGAGGCGCCCGGGGAGCAGTTAGGGTTGGGTGTCTTGCTCAAGGACACCACGACATGTGGGCATGGCGGGGAGTTGAACCTAGGACTTTCGGATCCCAAGCCGGCTGCTCTACCACTACACCACAGCCGCCCCTAGCCTCAGTTTAGCTTGTTTGTCGTGCTGAGCTAATACATATAAGGCAATATAGCGTTGGCGCTAGCGCAAAGGCGAACAGGCTAAACTGAGGTCCTCCATCCATATTTTCAGTTACAGCTGAGTCATTTTTGTGTTCCCCTCTCTGTCATGTGGATGGAGGACCTCAGTGAGGAGAGGAGAATGTGTAGCGTCGGGGCTAATGCTAAAGCTAACAGGCTAAGCTGAGGTTCTTCCATGAAGCAGCTCTGTTGTCCTC